TGACCTTACTGAAGGAGAAGAACGGTCTATGGACGCAGGTGGAGAACATCGAGGACTACCTGGAGCTTGGAACAGCAGCCTTCAGAAAGATTGGCTTGGATGGACCTCAACGCACCATCACATTCTTCGCGCCCTCTATCATGGAGGACTACTGGGAGCAGGAGTCAGAAGTGCCACTGAGGCCATTCCCGGAGGAGAAAAGACGTGAACCACAAGGCAGGACGGACTGGTCCGAGGATGACAGAGAAGAAGAGGAGGACATGGAGTTGAAGATGGACTCCCATGACATTGAGAAGATGGTGGAGCTTGATAAAACCATCTACACGGAGAAGATGTCGGTGAAGGATCTACAACTTGCCTGCAAAGAACGCCAGTTGCCCTATAGCGGGAGCAAAAGGAGGTTGCTGGACAGGCTGATTGATTTCAAGGTCAACTTGGAGAACAACATGAAGCTGGAAGTGGCGAGCAAACTTTTCAAAGAACAAGAGAGGAAGCCGTTCGCGCTGGGACAACCCCGGCTACCTTCACTCAAGGAGCAAGAGACACATTTTGTGACTCATCTTCCATATGCTACTTGGTGCCAAGCATGTGTCGCCACCCGAGCAAAAGAGGATAAGCGTGAGCTGAGGGACGACAAGCCGGACCAGGGCAAGAACGTGATCCAGATGGACTTCTTCTACACGTACACTGGTGAGGAGAAGGGGATGGATGAGGCACCGGTGGACAAGGTGACAGAGAGAGCCGATCAGTTTGGCGCTTGTCTGGTCATGGTGTCCTCAGAAACGAAGGCCGTGCATGTTGTGCCCATCCCATCGAAGGGAACTGCCAGTCTAAAGACTGTGACTGAGGAAGTCGTACGCTTTTCGCTGGAGACATCATCAATGGATGGATGCATCTTTCAGGGAGATGGAGAACGAGCGATGCGACAGCTCTTGAGGTCAGTACAACAAGTCAGAGCAATAATGGGATTGGCGTGTGAAGTGAGGATGACGGGCAGCAACCAGCATGCATCGAATGGCCAAGCAGAACGAGCAGTTCAGAATGTCAGGAGGATGGCAAACTGCATCCGCAATTTCGCGGAAAATCGAGCTCGGTTGAGTATCATGGGCAAGATGCGCATTTACCCATGGTCATTCAGGTATGCTGGTTTCCTGCTGAACCGATTCAGGGTCCTTGAGAAGGTGAACAAGACGCCCTACGAACTCTCCACTGGCCATGGATACCGTGGGAAGTTAGCCTTGTTTGGAGAATCGGTGATGTTCAAAAGGCTTGTGAAGTACAAGGCCAGTGATCTGTTTGAGAGAGGAGTATGGGTGGGCAAGCACAGTTGGAACGACAACCACATCATCCTGAGTCCTGAAGGAGCTTTTGAAGCACGGACTATAAGGAGGCTTGCAGCAGAGGAGGCTTTCATTGCAACAGACATTGTGGTTGCAAAAGGCTTGCCATGGAGCTACAGCCCGCAAGGAATCCTCATGAAGCATGCAGGACAAGCCCAACGATACCGAGTGCCGACTCTTGAGAATGAGGCCACGGAGGAAGAGATGAAGGCACTCACTGACGCAGTGGCAGCAGGTGTGGTTACACCAGCACCAGGATTGAAGCCACAGCCAACAACACCAGGAGTTGTGGGGATGAGTGCAATACCTCAGACACCAGGAGCGGCGCCAGCAACACCGAGGGTGAAGAGAGCTAGTGAAGGTGAAGAAGAAGGACCAGAGCGAAAGAGGCTTGATGCGTCAGATTTTGAAGGAAGAGTCAGGAGAAGAGGGAAGCAGAAGCCAAAGACCCAGGGACGGAAAAGAAGCAGAGGATTGGTGAAGAAGAGGAGATGATGGAAGAAGCGTCAGCAAGTATGCCGACAAGCACACCTGGGACAAGGCCGAGAGAAGAGGAAGGTGAGCGAGCAATGCCAGAGTCACCAAGCAAAGCCTCACTATGCAGGTATCCAGTCGGTTGAAGCCCATGGAGATGAAGAAGTTGGCCAAGACCTAATCCCAGAGGAGGTGAACGAAGAGATGTTTGCTGGGTATGGTGGCAATGAGGATGAGGAGCCACCTATCACATCAGAAGAACATCTGCAAATGTTGGACGAGCAGGCGAAGAAGAATGAAGTTGAACGAACGCTCAAAATGCCGGCCATGGAGAATTCCAGTCAGGAAGAAGTGGGAGAATGCAATGGCTACACCATTTCCACGAAATTCGTCATCACTTGGAAACACAGACTGGAGCAAGGAGGGTGGTTCCGGCGAGCGCGTTTGGTCGCGAGACAATTCAAGAGCAGTGTAGATCTTGATCACACCTTTGCTCCCACGTCCATCATGGTCCTGCCCCAAATTCTCATTCACTTGATGCTCAACGTCTTCAAGCATTTCAGGGCCATGACCTTAGACATCAAGGACGCCTTCCTGATGGCCGACCAGCCAGCAGATGAAAAGGCCTTTGTAGAACTGGATGGGCATATCTACAAGCTCATCAAGTGTTTGCCCGGCCAGAGGACAGCAGCGTCTCAATGGTTCCAGTTAATTGTGGGAGCTGCAAAGAAGTTTGGATTGAAGCAGGATTCAATGCAGCCCACACTGCTGATGATGGAGAAGGAGATGTACATCACAGTACATGTGGACGATATCTTCATGGTGGGAAATGAGATGGTCCTGAAGAACTTCGTGCAGTACATGCAGAAGAACAGAGGCTGGAACATCGAGGTCAAGGGACCATTTGGTTTGAATGGGAAGTTCCACTACCTGAAGAGGGAATTCTGGCCTGGAGGTGAAGGATGTGACGTCAGGTGCGACTATAAGCAATATGAAAGTTTGGCAAAGGACACCGATGTCTTCAAGAAGGCCTACAGAAAGACTCCGATGGACCAGAACTTTGTGAAGAAGGATGACAGCCCGCTGCTAGAAGGAGGAGACATCACAAAGTTTCGCAGCGTGGTGGGAAGATTGATGTACCTGGCAGGTGAAAGGCCAGACGCACAGTTCAGCATCCAAAGCCTGGCCAGGAGCATGGCCAAACCAACTCAGCAGGCGTGGAAGAATGCCTGGCACGTGTGCTCATATCTCCAGGGCACTATGGGCTTTGGGGTGAGGATTGGCTTGAGGAAGAGAGGCCAGTCGGTCATGGATGTCAGAGAGGAGGACGAGACAGAGGAGAAGCAGAGGCATCTGATTGAAGTGGTGACGGACGCCGACTACGCTGGCAACAAGAACGACCGACGAAGCACAGGGTGCGATCACAGAAAGCCATAGCCCTGTCCTCAGGAGAGTCAGAGTTTGTGGCGATTGTGGCAGGGTGCTCCGATGGCATGCTGATCCGCCACCTATGGATGACAATGGTCGGAGAACCATGCGACATGAAGGTTCGCTCAGATAGCTCAGCGGCAAGAGCAATGGTGCAACGCCAGGGCATTGGACGAGTACGCCATCTAGATGCAGCACTCCTATGGGTACAGCAGAAAGAGAGCGAGAAGATTTTCAATGTTGGAGCCATAGGCACTGAGCTCAACTGTGCCGACATTGGCACAAAGAACTTGACAAGGAGCCGACTCTATGAACTGCTGTATATGTTGAAGGTGGTTGACAGCACCGGAGAGCGCATTGGCCTACAAGAGTTCAAGGACCTGGAGTACAAAGAAAGGATGAGGAAGGCCACGAGGAAGATCATGAAGGTGAAAGATCTGCGCGTGGGATTGCTGATGATCATGTCCAGACTTGATGAGGTCGCAGGGACGGACTTGAAGGAGAAGGAGGAGAACTATGATTGGAGCACTATGTGGAGCCTTGAGCATCGCAGGATGGTTGCGGTACTACATGATGGAAGGCTTCCTGGGCAAGGGCTGGCGCTACATGCAGGAGAAGGTGACGGCCATGTTGAGGAAGAGAACCCAAGAAGAAAGGGTTGAGATGAAGAACGTGGGAACTCAAGCCCATGAAGTGGAAGACCTGAGGTCATACCTAATGGCCTACCAGGAGAATGAGAACAAAATGCAGGAAGAGTTGAACAAGAAGGACCTCTACATCGAGGAGCTTGAGCATGGAATCAAAGAGATTCGGCTGCAAAGGCAGCAGGCTCTGAAAGAGCTGGAAATCTCTGAGAGATACGGTCTGAGACTCCTGAAACAGACCACTGAGTACAGAATGGTTTCAAAAGGAAATGTGATCCACTTTTGCGCTGAATGTCCATACTACGGACGAGCGCGTGAGATTTCCCTGTGCAAAGTCTGCCAGACTGGAGGGACGGTGTTGGAGTTCCCTGAGAGGTCAACCAGTCCGGCATGACACGCGCAAATCAAGAAGTGTACACACTTGACGCTTTAAGGCTCGAGTTGCAAAAGCGCACTTTGCTTCGCAGTTTATATAGATAAGACTTACAATCTCTTCTATGTCTTGCCATTCTTTGACTCAGTTTTTCAGTTGTTGAATATATATCCATATATTTTAAATCATGTTTTCGTTATGTAGATATTTTTTGGGTCCAAATGGGAGATTCTCAAAATCTGAATACCAGTAGCGTTTATTATCGTAGTTGCTTAAATCATATTTAGTCTGATTAATGCTATAGATTTGATGGTTCTTACTTCTGATAGTGTTAAAGCTGACTTCTTCTTTACAGTTTCTATTCAATGTTCCTTCATAAGTTTCGTAACTTAATTGTTTGCTGTTTGCTCACTTTACGCTTGACTACTCCTTTATTTTTTTTGTGTTCTGTCTCATCACCATACACTGTATAACAATATGCCTTTTGTTTCAATCCTATAGCGAGTAACTATTTTACCGCTCATTTCATCATGAATTTCCCTAATACCTTCTTGTTTGACTTATCATGATTTGGATGCTCTGTTGGATAATCACTAAAAGCAATGTATTCATTTATCTCCTTAAAGTCTTCGTGTAAATCATCAGTCTCAACTTTCATTACGTAACTATCAGTATCAGTATAGACCAACTTGATTTTATGATCATACCGACAGGGTTTTTAAATAAATGCGGTCAGTGGAATTCTTTGTTTCGGAGTTGTTTCTCTTGGGATTCGACTGTTTCATCTCACCAATGGCGCATGGCCTTGATCGCTCGCGCTTGCGCGAGGCCCAAGGCTCGGCCAGGGAACCAGTTTTTTTGATTTTTGGACAGGTGACAATTAAACAAGTAACCTGAAAATACGTGAAACGATTTAATTAACTAAAGTCTATAAACCCTTCGAAGCTCGAGGTGTTTTCCGCTTTTGCAGAAACAGGACCTGCGATTTCATCTCTGCGGGCAGTGTCAGACACATGAGTGGAACAAATGTGGTGATTGAGCAGTTGGGCTTTTTGTTTTCGTTTAAACGAGAAAATCAATTGGGTTTGGTCGATGTATCCTTTTACCAGCTGGGTTGGACAGTGCCCAATTTTCCGTGCTATGGCCACACGTGGCTTTAGTACAAACTAGTTGGAAAATTGTCATGGGAAACATGACATCTTTGGGGAAGGGGAACCCCCCAGCCGGTTGAAATGTGGGGAGAAATGTTAACACATATTATTGGACTCTCCCATTTTGAGACCAAGTGTTTTGCTCACAGGTGTGCAAACAGCAAGACTTGCCTGCAGCTCAGGAGATCTTTGGACAGCTGGTCTCTGACCATGTGCCACAGGACCGCGTCGATGTGCGGTCACGGCGTTCGATGCCTCTCGACCTCGGCCTGTGCAGCAACAGCCACATCCGGGCAAGAAGATAGGCGGCTGTGGCGTCAGACTTGGTCAACCCACAGCGCGTGCTCAGAAGCTTTCTCAACTTGTGAGGTGGTATTGTCAAACTGTCCATTTGTTGCTTGAGTTTCATGTTGTGCTGGCCTTTCTTTGATGGTGGACATGACTGCAATGATGCGTTGAAGATCAATATTTGCAG